AGCTTTAGTTTTGCTCAGGACTAGACAGGAACAAATTTCACTGACCTTCTCCATAGGCAGACCTCAGCAAAGACTGACCCAGGATCTCTCATGTAGACACTTCTATTTTTTTTCATGTCCAAAAGACCATCACATAGCGAGCATCTCCAGGCTGTCATTAACACATCACAGGAGTGAAGAACCCTTGCAGATGTGTCATCCCAGCACAAGGAAATGTACCAGATCAGGAACACGTGTCCCCAGCCTGTCCTGCCTGCCTGACTCTGCACAACTCCTCACCTGTTCCTCCTGCCTTCTTAGACCAGCCATTTTTCATACGAATCCTCATCCTTGGTCTATTTGCTCATTAGTTTTTTTATTTAATTTTTTTATTTTTTATTAATAATTTTTATTTTGCAATACAATTCAGTTCTACATATCAGCCATGGATTCCCTTGTTCTCCCCATTCCCGTCCCCCTCACCTTCCCCCCAGCCCAAACCCCATTCCCACCTCCTCCAGGGCAAAGCCTTCCCCATGGACTGAGATCAACCTGGTAGACTCAGTCTAGGTAGGTCCAGTCCCCTCCTCCCAGGCCGAGCCAAGTGATCCTGCATAGACCCCAGGTTTCAAACAGCCGACTCATGCAATGAGCACAGGACCTGAGGCAAAGGTCTCTTTTCAGTGACTTTCCTTTCCCCTTTCTAAGTTGAAAACAGGACCTAAGGTAATAATGATGCACGTGAGAAAGCAGACGGCTACTGTGAAGAAGGGAACTTCCCAGAGCTCAGTTGTATTAGTCTCTACCATGTCCCTCTGAAGAATGGGAACATCTCTCAAATGAAGACATGTTTACAGGTATCTGGGAACCCTATGCCAATAGATTTGTTTTTAAATCCCAAATTAAGGGACCAGCAAAGACATCTCAGTGGGTAAAAGTGCTTGTCACACAAACCTGATGATCTGAGTTCAGTCCCTGAACCCATGATGGAAGAAGAGAACCGGCTCCCATAAGTTGTTTTTGACCGAACACACACACACACACATACACACACACACACACACACACACACACACACACACACACACACACACACACCATGGAGTTCATACATTCACACTCATATGCATCATATGTGTGCACATGCACACACAGATAATCTTAATAAATTGAATAAAATTGCTTTAATTAACAGCAATGTCTCTAAAAAGGTCTCCACACACAAGAATAACTAAAGCCCCTGGAATGGTACTACTTTTTTTTTTCTTCATGAGAAGAGCACCATGTTTATCTTCACACACATTATAATCACAAATTACACAAAGACCTTTGGTCAACAATGAACTACATACATGAATGGTATTCTCAGAAGATTATTTTGCCTAGTGACTCCATAGGCATCTTAGTCTGTGTGAGTACATACATGCTATAGTGTCCACACAAGGACAAAATTACCTAACACACAAGTCTCAGAAGGTTTCCCTACTGTTAAGCAATATTAAACTGCAGTGATGTAAAAACTTCGTACTACTTTTATATGCAAATTGTTTTTATGTTGAGCATGAAATTGAGTGTGAATCTTAAAAGCCCAACAAGGAAAACTTAAATTTGTTCTGAGGCTATGAAGCCATTCTCCAGCAGATGGCTCTCTAAGAGTAGAGGATTTTGAGGAACCTCAGACATTCCCAACTGTCACAAAATCTGTCACCTCAAGGCACTAGCTGGTCAAAGCTGGTCCTGCTCCTAAGTGGGATATAAAAATGACAGTTGAGACATCATACACTGACTGTCGCTGTATAGGAAAGCCAATTCATTTGGAGTGTGCAGAGTATAAATATAAAACTGAGACTAGGCCTGGTGTCACCTGTAATCCCAGCACTTAGAAAGTTGAGGCAGAAAGATCATGAATGTGTCCAACCTGGACTACACTGCAGGATTATGCCTCCAAAAACTAGATAATTGCTTACAACAGATAAACATCTTAATTGATTCCTAACACACACAAATCAGAATGTTTCACATAACAGTGAAAAGACTGAGCTTTTCTTAGATCTGGTACCACTAAGTTCAGATGTTCCTCCTGACAATATAAACCATCTGTCTGGATGTGCTCTCCCTACAACACATTCCACTTCCTACTGTCTTCCTGTCTTGATCATTGCTATTATCATGTCATCTACCTGCCACCCAGACAAAGACTACATAGGGAGATGTATTTTGTTAAAATAATTAAGACCCAATAGTACATGATAAATGACATATAATTTTAGATGATGAGGTCATCAATCATAAAACCAAGTCATATTATATATTTACTCCATGTGTAAAAGTACATTAAGAATATTGCATGTAAGATCACATCTACTCCTTACAACCCAGGTAGAAATAGCAATGTCTTTATTTTACAAATGGGAAACTGGGTTTGAAGATGGTAAAAACTTTGGTAAAAATTCAGTGCGGTTTCATGGTGGAGCCAGGACTTACACTCCAGTGAGTCCTTTGAGACCAGAAGCAGGGGCGTTTTCCCGGTGCCTGCTGTCACTCATTGTTGGAGCTGGCTGGTCTGAGAGGCTTCACAGAGGAACGGTGTGAACAGAACTAACTCTGACTCTTTCTCCTCTCTTAATTTTAATTTCATTGCTCTGTTTTTGGAATGATGGAGCTCTGCTGGTTCTTTCCCTACAATACAACAACCTTACTATTCTGTAAGTGAGAATAGTGTCAGAATGTGTAGAAATGAGTCAGGCTTTGTCTTGGTTAGCTCTGACTGTCAATTGGACACAGCCTAGAGTCATCTGGGAGAAACTGCCCAGACCAGATTGGCCTGTGGGTGTGTCTGTGGGAAACTGTCCTAATTATTCACTGATGTAGGAGGTCCCAGACCACTGTGGGGCAGCATCACTTCCTTGGCAGGTTGTTCTGGGCAATATAAAAAAGCTAATTTATCACAATCCTGCCAGAGAGTTATCAAGCAGCATTCCTTCCTGGTTTCTGCTGTTGTTCCTTAGCTGTGAGTTCCTTGGTTAGAGGTAATGCTGTGCAGGTTAGTAAACATGCCTGCTTTTCTGTTCCTATCTTGAGTTCCTGCCCTGATTTTTCCCCAATAATAGAATGTAACCTGTGGTTAAAGTAAACCCTTTCCTTCCCTAAATTGCTTCAGGTCAAAGTTTTTCATCACAGCCACAGGGATGGCACTAGAACTGGCTTCTGTCAGGGATGGGATTATCTCTGATGGTTGAACTGTTGTTCTCCCATTGCTGTTCTAGAAGGATGATAGGCAGTGTGCATGTGGGAGGTGGGGGTCACTACTTAACCTCAATTAGCTTATCATGCTGAAGCCAATGAGACTCTTCATACCATTTTAGTAAGGAATATTTCCATGGGATACTACTGTCTGGAATTATCATCAGGGTAGAAAAAGCCAGCTTGGCTGCCAAAGGAGACACTAGTAAACAAAAGCAGAACCTAGAAATCAGAAAAAATGTAATGTTTCCAAATGTGATGGTTTTTAAAAATCTTATGTATTTAATAGATCTGTCACATCTTTTTCTGATCTTTTCCGGAGTGGGGGCAATGCATAAATTTAAATATTAAGAGGTAATATGAGCCAAGTATGGCGGCTCATGACTGTAATCTCAGAATGTGGGAGGCAGGAAACAGGAGGACTGCCACAAGTTTACTGCCAGTCTGGGTTATATGTATGGTACCATGGTAGTCCATGGTACCAAGTGAGACCTTGCCCTTTAAAAAATGAAGTAAAAATAAACAGAGGTAGTATGATATCCAATAGTAACACTGTAATGAACTTAGCCAACCGGAGTATAAGTAAACCTTTTGAAAAAAGAAAACAAATACCCACTACAGAATCCTTCTACACACCCAGCGGTATCACCTTCCCTGCAACAGAAAAGACAAAATTCCAGTGCATCTTCTGCCCTTGTTCACCTAGGACATGGCTAGCTGCCTAAGGGCTCCACTATGTTCTGAGTTTGCATCCCTGTAACTAGCCCTCTAAACATTTGCACCTCCAAACTGATACTCCTCACCTTTTAAGGTGCTAACTTCAAAAGTCACAGGACTGTGCGACCTATCTCCATTCTTACTGTTTGCTGGTGTGCAGCTACGCCTCCATTACATTCTGTATGGCTAAAGCCAACGGTCTTAGATAATACAATTTGGCATAAATTTCTCAGCATTAATTCATAAAGAGACTTTATATCTAGACAGCAACTCAAAGATTTTTTTTCCTAAGAGAATCACCCAGCACTGTCAGTGGCTCTACGAAAACACAGTACACTTGTAAACTTCGGTTAAAAAATCTGATAGAAAAGCACAGCTCCTCCATTTAAGCCTACTATTCTCATCCTGTCTACATAATGAACCCAACTAAGACACCCATTTTAAATGTTAATGCCATAACCTGCCCTTGTAAATTTAATTGGAATCACTCAGAGAGCCCCAGGCAGAAGGAGTCATTAAAATCTCTCCAGGTTGAGTCTAATATTTACTTGTATGTATGTGTGAGTGTATTATGTATGTGATACACACACACACACACACACACACACACACACACACACACACACACACACCAGGGACAGTAAACTTGTTCTTTAAAGGACAATACTATAAACACTTTTGGTGTCATTTAGTATTTGTTACAACTTCTCAGTTTTGAGCTATGACCCCAAAGTAGACATATACAACATGAAACTGGACTCTAATACAGCTTAATTTATGAACACTGAAACATGAAGTTTATATAACTTGTACATGTCAAAAAATATTATTCTTGCATTTTTGTTCAACCATTTAAAAATGTAAAAACCATTCTTAGTTCACAGGCTGTGGGCAAAACAGTGGCAGGCCACATTTTACTAGGCTAGTTTACCTAGTGAATCAAACTCATGTCTTCTTTGTCGTTTCTGAAATATGAGGTCAGAGACAAGGATGTCTTCAGATTCAGGCTGCTCCAGGCCCATAGGAAGCAGCTATATTTTGGTGGCTGATGGACTGAATGGTTATTCTTTCAGAATGGACTGCTGGGAATTTGTGAGAGCTTCCACAGTCATTACAGGGGGCATCATTGGAGAGTCCAAAATAGGTATTGGTACATTTGGCCCAGTGATAGTGTCTGCCAAACACAAGAGGTAAGAACTGACCCACCAGACAATCATAATAGAAAATGTTAACATGAGCTTTAAAGGCAAGGAAGCAGTGTCTTATACACAGTAAACTCAGTACTCAGTTCAGCTCCTCTTCTCCCATCAACCCAGCTACACACAGAAAACACTTCATCACCTGGGATGACACACAGCCTCAAGTCATAATTTTGCTTTTAAAATTTAATCTACAAAAAAATTAAAATGTGTACCTGTAATAATAAGAATAGACACAAGAAATCTGGAGGTGGTATGGAGTTAAGGAGATTATGAAAACAAAATTGAAGATGTTTGTTACAAGTCAGAGGATGGAGGCTGAGAGCAAGGATCATAAGATTTTATGAAGGTTATTACCAAGGCTCTAGACAAGTTTTATTTTGGAAGGGGAATTGGGAGGCAGGATAAAAAAAGTATTTATTACAGTGTTTAAAACAGTTCAATGAATAAAAAACAGTAATCTTTACTTGGACAATTGAAATAGACATATGAAGACCAAAATATATATGTGCATTTTTAATTCCTAAGAGTCTAATAACAACCCATACTAATCTATTCATAATAATGAGAAACTGGAAACAGAATAGATGTCCATGAATAGGGGAATGGTTACAGAAAGTGTGGTATATTTACACAATAGAACATTACTCAGCTGTTAAAAGAAATGAAATCATGAAATTCATAGGTAAATGGATAGAGCTAGAAATAAAAAAACAACCAGAGAGAAGTAGCCTAGACACAAAGAGACAAATATGGTGTGTATATATATATATATATGGATGTTGGCTGTTAAGTCTTTGATAAGCAGGCTACAATCCATATAACCACAGAGGCTAGGTATAGAGAAAGGGACTAGTGGAGAGGGTTGGATCTCACTAGGAAGAGGAAGTGGAATAGGTAATTATGAATGAACAAGTCGGGGAGTCTGGAATAAGAGGATCAAACAGGGAGGTGGAAGGAAGATGGGGTGATGGAGCAATACATGGGGGACAGCTAAAACTAAGGGCCATTTGAGGGGTTGTATGGGAACCTAGTGAAATGGAAGCTTCTTAAAATATATACATATACAAAGGTGATCTAAATGGAATTGCCAAATAAAGTGGAAGACAGAGCCCCAATTGGACATCTCTCCTCACCAAAGGAAGCCTCCAGTTCCAGGAATGGGTTATATCTAATCTAGTTGTCAGCCAAAGGGGCACCATGGGAACTCCCAAATTACCCAGGCTATTGGTTGCCTTTCATTAACTGATGGTAAGACCCTGTTGCTGAGGACAACACCTACATAACTCATTAAACACGAAGAAGTCAAGCTAGTTCCTAACTAGAGCCTTCACCCCTACTGTACATTCTGCTATACTATAGATAAGTACCTTGCTCAGTCAGTAACAGAGAATCTTCCTCCTGCAAAAGATGGGAGCAAACACAAAGGCCCACCGTGAGACAATATGCAGAGTTGTCGAGGACCATGATTGATCATATGTCAACCCACCAAATGAATGACTCTTTGATGGGAAGCCCCACCTGGCAAGGCCATGGGATTACTGGCTATCCATGACCAGTTGCCCCTTGTCTGTGTTTCTTTTATGTGGCACTTCATTTCTTCACTAAGAACTGCATTCCTTCCTTAAGAACAGCTATGATATCTCCCCATTTGTCATGCATTTCCATGTAATGTGTACATGTAATTTCATGATTAAATCTCAATCTTATGGGCACACATAATTGTGGATAGTCAAGAAGATGGTATCTTATTTAACTGTACAATTTTGATGAACAGAAACATACTAAAATATGCTCCATAACAGTATCTAGTATTCCATGTGGACATTAGACACTTAGAGGTCTTGTTCTCCATCCTTAGCCACTGACAAGACAAAATTGGCCAAATGAAGTGTCCTCGTGGAACTTTCACAGAGCAGAATTGCAGGTGCCTGGCCTTGTTGGATCAAAACCCTTCAAAAGTATTATAGCGAACAAGAAGTGATAGTGCAGGTGTCTGGCCTTGTTATATCTTAGACCTTCAAGAGATCAATAGCACCTATGCTGCCCTAAGCTTCCTCTACTGGCACCTCCCCATTCTGATTCAAAAAAACAATTAAAACTATATATTTATTTCTACACCAGTTTTAATGCAAGATTTTAGGCTCAGTAGACTAACTATGTATAGGTCCTGAGATTCAGGTGATTAACAGAAAAAGGCTGTTAACTGACTAACCATGTCTGGATATCATCAATCACATAAAATAGTGCACATATTCTTTGCCTTTTCCTTAAATCTCACATTGGTTTAATTGCTTCCCTTATATCCTTGTAATCTTTATAACCCCTTTAAGAGATGAGCCAGAACGTTTTACAGTCTGCAGCTGTTGTCAATCTCCAATTAAGCTGACCAAGGCTTTACCAAGTGTGACTCTTATTAGAAAGCTTGTCCCTGAAAGTTTGCCTTGTAGTTTTTAACTAACAAGTTGTTAATAAATGGAGATATATATGCTTGGGAATTTGTCATGGGAAATAGAATAGAGATGTAGCAGAACAAAGATGTAGGAGAATAAAGATGGAAGAAACAAAGAACACAACAATGAAGAGTACTGGCCCATGTGTGCTGAGAGTGAGAGACTTTGGAACACTTAGCCATAAATGGGATGTCTCTGTCAAATCCCTGCCCTTAGAGCTCAGAAAACCCTACAGAAGAAGAGGTAGAAAGATGGAAAGAGCCAGAGGAGGCAGAGGACACCAAGGAAACAAAGCCTTATAGATATGGCAGGACAGACATTCCTATAAGCTTACAGAGACTGTGGCAACATGAACAGAGATTGCACAGGTCTGGGCCAGAAGGGTCCTAGCACTGAGAAGGGTAGTGTACACAAGGCTCCATCCCTAACCTGGATGCTTTCTCCAATTGATAACTGCTAGCAAAGGAAAACATTGGTTTGCTCCAACTGAGTCTCACTGGGTATACAAATCACTTCGAAGGACAGGATCCATACACAACAGTACATGGCCAATACAAAATGAATTCAATGGCATTTTTGTAGGTTCTTTGTCTCATTATGTTTTTGCTAGGGTTTCTTCCTTTCTTTTTTTTTCTTCCTTACAAATCCTTTGTGAATATTCTATGACTTCTGGTTTTATGGTTTTACAGGATTTCTGTATGTACATATGTCCCTGCATATATATATATATATATATATATATATATATATATATATATATATATATATATATATATGTTTCTAGTGCTTTGTCTTTGGCTCCTTTTGGTTAGGTTCTTTTGTACTATTCTGGTTTGTTTGTTCTATTTCACGTTATTTTTTATGTTGTAGATGACTGTTTTTATTCTAATAAGACAGAGAAAGAAAGGGTGTAGATATGGGTGGGTTGAGGAGTGGAGAGGATCTGGGAAGAGTAGGGGGAGGGGAAACTGTAAACAGAATACATTGCTTCAAAAAAATCTATTAAAAAAACCAAAACGCTGGGCAGTAGTGGTACACGCCTTTAATCCTAGCACTTGGGAGGCAGAGGCAGGTGGATCTCTGTGAGTTCCAGGCCAGCTTGGTTGACAGAGCGAGTTCGAGGACAGCCAAGGCTACAGAAAGAAACACTGTCTTGAAAACCAAACCAAACCAAACAAAACAAAACCTAGAAGTAAATAAAAATAAATAAATAAATGAATAAATAAATAAATAAAAACACTGTGTTGCCCTACAGACCTGAGGGTCAATGAAATAGCAAGTACTTTTCACAGACTACTTAAATATTTACCATAACCTAAGTAGACGACTGGAAATGAATGGGGCCTACAGAAGTTTAGCAGCTTACCTGAGGCCACAGTCTTAAGAGAGCGCCAAAGGTGGCTCCAATCACAGGTCTTTGCTATCTTTACATTTTCCCACACTGGCTCGTAGGAAGGAGTCCTCAAGAGGCTTGAACTTGGGAACGAGTAGAGTCACCTCATCCTTTGAGGCTATAACACATTTCTACAAACAAGGAGAGCTGACCATCTCTCCATGTGGGGAACATGTGCATGCTGGTGAAAGGCCAGGTGTCTCACTCATCCCAGTAACTCACAGTAAAGATTCACACTCCTCCTTCAAACACTGAACCCACACTCCCCTACTGACCTCCCATAGAAGAGGTAACTTCAAGAGGCAAAGGGACAACAGTGGTGGAGGCTGGAGTGGCCAGAGACTCCCATCTTCCAGACAGTTCAGTGGCATCCACGTCAGCAGACACAGGAAAGGGGGTTAACATGTCTTCTTCAGGCTCGCCACAGCCTCTGGGAAGCTCAGTATGTCTTTGTGTCACCGAGTACTGTCTGGTTCTTGAATGGCCATTGTTATCTCTGAGTGATGACTAGGAAGGTGGAAAACATTTTGAAATAGACCAAATTCCTATGCATTAAGGTCACTAGGATGTTATAAACTAAAAAACAGCAGATACTGATATTTAAGTACCACCTTAGTAACCTTAGTGGAAGCGGGGCTCCCCTCAATCCCTTCATAGCTCTCATGCATTCTGTGTGGTGGCTCTGTGATCACTTGAGTCTCTGCACTGTCTCCTGAATCTGGGATCCTTGTCTGACTCACACTCTCAAATTTGGTGTCATCCCACTCATCACTTGGGACAGAAGAAACTGGAACAGCTGTGCTGACACTCACTGTGACCTTGAGGTCCCTCAGAAGACTGTCAGCTGTTGGATCAATATTCAAAATATCTTCAGGGGTTGCCACCAAGTGTATGGTGATAGTGGTCTGGGCATTATCAGCCGGCTTCTCTGAGGGCCTCTCCCCACCAGGCTCTGTGTCTGCTGTGGAATCAGCACCAGGAAAGGCAGTGGTCTTCTTGACTGCATCTGTTTTAAGTTCCTCGGGTCTTGAATTGGCAGTTATCATTTCTTTGGTATTTATATAGGATGAAGGTGTATTTCCCAAGCTAACTGCTTCCTGACTTTCAGATGGAAACAATTGATTATCCACATACTTCAGGAAGTCACGTGTTACATCTGTGATCCCTTCTAAAATGGAATGAGTACTAGAAGTGGGTACTGGGGTCTGTCAAGGTCAGGACTGAGGGAAGCAGATAATCATTATTAACATGGAAAGTCTGTTCAGGAGAGATTCTTTCAAGATAACTGAGACCTTGTTCACTGGCTGAAACCACTGGCTCACTGGAAGAGTGAAGATCAGGAATGCTAGGGTTCAGAAGCCCAGCTCCTGGAAGGTGGTGTTCTTTGTCAAAAGAGAATACTTTATGCTTTGGAATGTCCTTCTGTATGCTACTAATGTGTGTTTCTCTCATTGGTTGATAATAAAGCAGTTTTAGCCAATGGTGAGGCAAGATAAGGCTAGGTGGTACAATCATACTGAGGAAGGAGATGAAGAAAGGCAGAGCAGGGAAAGATGCCAACCAGCCACTGATGAACCAAGTCATGTAGAAAATGAGGTGACAAGCCATGAACCACATGGCAAAGCATAGATAAGAAATATGGGTTAATTTAAATGTAAGAGCTAGCTAATAATAAGCCTGAGCCATTGGCCAAATTTATAATTAATAGAAGCCTCTGAGTGATTATTTGGGAAGTGACTGAGGAATAGGACAGGACAGAGAAAAGCCTCCATTTACAACTTTATTTAACTGCATCACTGATGATCCTGCAGACAGTACCATTGGAGCTTCAGAGGACATCTGCTGGGGCATGGACTTTGGAGCAAAGGAGATGTTTTCTTGGTCACCTGTGTCCATCTTCTGAGACTGCTCTTTCTCTGCATAAGCATGTGCTACCTCCATCTTTTCTACTTTTTGGAAAGCCAGACATTGTGTGGCTAAGGGGAGGAAGAGAATGCTACAGAAAGCCACAGAGCTGTGCATCAGAGTTGGTCTGCTCATAGTGGGAGGGAAACACAAGTTGAAGGAGTTGACAGCCCCGGTAATTGAGTCCTGAAGAAAGCAAAGCATAGCACACTGTCATGTGGGTCTATTTGTAAACGAGCTCCTTTAACTTATCCCAGAAGTACAGGGCTCTCCTTGACTTCCTCCCAGAGAAGGGAGGTAGGAGACACTTGTTCTATTTCTTTGTCCCCTTGAGACATGGATAACCCAGTTTGCTTATCCTTTCTGAATTCTGCAGCTGATTTAACCTAAAGCTCCCTGGAAAATGGTACACACAATGACTGGAGAAACAGCACCATGTCTAAGAGATGGAAAGTAAAGTTTACAAACACATTTAAAGAACTTCTGTGTTTCTGTGGTCTGCATGTTGGTGTCCCTAAAATTCATGAGACCTCATCATAAGGATGGTGTGGGAGATGAGGCTTTTAGAAAATTTGGTCTTGAAGACAGAGCACTGACGAAGGAGACCAGGGTCTCTGTGAAAGAGCCCTCAGACTCTACTTTCCCTCTTGTCTATCATGGGAGGCTCATAAATACTCAGCTTCTGGGAACCAGGCCCTAACCAGATACCACATCTGCTACTGCCCTTCGCTTGGACTTCAAGAGTCCAGACATGTAAGAGCTGAATTTGAGGGATTTTGTTGTTCTTCTACTGTAACTGGAGTTGTATAGAATTCCCTTCTTCTCCCCTCACCCCCACCCTAGTTATGGTATCTTGCTACAGTGGTCAAACTGGAAAATATGTTTTAAAACTTGATAAATATCAAAGCATACTGAAAATCGGTTATTTTCGCAAGTTTAAAAATGGATATGAATGGTTTTTCAGCCAAAATATACTTTTAAAATATTCAAATTCTTTGCAACAACAAGAAAAATTATACACAAAACTTTCATGTTCCAAAATTTTAGAGTAAGAAAAGATACTTAACAACGTGAATGCATGTTATTTTTAAAATGTTAAATTTGCACTTATTGATGGTTAGCTATGGTTTATAATAAATATTTGTTATATTCTTCAAACAACTCACATTCTTATTATAGCTAAAACAACAACTATGGATTAAAACAGCTCATTTTCTTCCCAATTCTGTGGGGGCCCACAGAGGTTTCCTAATGAGATCTGAGCTTGCTTTACCCAGCAGGGCTGCATAAAGGGATGACTTGACCAAGTGCGTGGTTACCAGGTGTTTGGATGGGTCTGTACTTGGCTGTGTGGTATGCTTTGATCTAACAGGGAGGAGGTCTTTTGTCCCACCTCTTGGCATTGTTATAAAAAGCCCCTTTGAAGAAACAGAAGGGGCTGGTGGAAATTGTTCCAGGTCCTCTCGAAGCTATTCTGTGTTTCTGTGTGTCCCAATCTCTGCTGTCTTTCTATCTACAAGTTTCTCATCCCTCTCTCCTCAAGAGTACCCTTGGTAAATGTGGGAGCTGGCTTCCCACACAATTCAAAGATTTGTAGCACTTTTTCTCCACAGTGCTGGGAGTAGCCCTTTGATTTTACATTAATTATAAATTTCCCAAGTCTTGCTAGGGTTCTGGCTCAGTTTGTCGAGGCTGGCCTCCCTTGCGTATTACACTAGGGAGGTAGAAGCTGGGGATCAGGGAGATAATTCCAAAAATAAAGCAGTCCTATGTTAACGTTTCTGTGGGCAATTTTATATGAATTCATTTCTTGAAACAAATCATCCATTCGGTTTTGAGAATTGTTCTCTTCCTCACATTCGATGTTTACCTTTCTATATATACAGATCCACTATGGCATATTTGCCCTTCCCCACTTGCTTGTTTTTAAGACGTAAAAAATAGTTTTACATTTATTTAATAAAGTTTGTTGTTTTCAAGACTGGGTCTCACTATGTAGCTCTGGCTGTCTTGGAAACTATGTAGATCAGGTTAGCCTTGAACTCACATCTGTCTGCCTCTGCCTCCCAAATGCTGGGATTAAAGGCTTATGTGCCTAAATAAATAAATAAATAAATAAAATAAAATAAATTTCCCAAGTCTTAATCCCCAGCACAATAAGCAAAATATGTCTAAAATAACACATGCCAATTCATGTCAATATTTGAGATGTCACTCTAGTTTAGATTTACCAGAAAATATCTTATTCCATAGCCAGGTAACATATGCTTATAAAGGGCTTGTCCTGATGTCAGACTTTTTCTTCCTTAAGAGAAAGAAAATGAAAGCTGTGAATCAAAAGTATCCATGAGCAATGAGTCCACACCTTTGGATTTCTGTGTGGACCAACTGAACTAAGAAACTATATTGATATTGGGAAAGACAAAAACACACTGATAATAACTATCGAAGTTTCTGGGTTGTTTTGGATCTGCTCAGGAAGCTATCCATTCTTCTTTCATTTGATGAAATCTTACTGAACTAGAGTATGGAAGGGGTGGTCTGAGGGTTGGACCCAAAGCTCAGTGACAGAATGCCTACTTAGCATGCACAAGACCATAAGTTCATAAAAAGAAAGGGTCTAAAAGCTTAGTCAATATGATGCTATGCTTCTGGATAAAATATAGAGTAGCCCAAAACATCAAGGACTGTAACAGAGTGTAGAAGAGCATGGACTAGGATTAGGAAATGATTTCTGAATTTACTTTTCTTTTTTATTTATTTATTTATTTTTAATTACACTCATGATATGCATTAATTATACTCATGATATTAATTACATTTGTGGTATTCATTCAATAATTATATTTATGATATTCATAAATTACATTAATTGTATTGATTTATTACATTTATGATATTATGTCCTGATACTACTGTTCATTTGTGGGGCTTTTCCATCACCCAAAACAGAGATTCTGTACTTAAGAAATCATTTCTCTTTATTACTCTCTTCTCCATCTTGAGATAACATCTAATCTTTCTGTCTCTATGAATTTGTATATTCTATATATTTCATGTAATACAGTTCTATAGTATTTGTCCTTTTTTTGAATATAAAAACATTTTATGTACAACTGCAGGAGAAATAATACACAGGTAGCTTGAACATAAAAATGGGTTATAATTCAAAAGTCCAGGGTTATTTTAAACAGTAAAATATTTTCGCTGTAGAAAATAGTAAAAGTGATAACATTTCTCAATAAGCCCTTTTAAGCCAAATGACAGCTGAATTATACATATAAATATTGATTAGATTCTGGGATACAGAAGAAACCTACCTTCATCTGTTCAGAGAGTTATGATTTACTTAAGTTGTGTAATAGCTGAATAAATATCTTCAGTTCCCCCTTTGATAAAACAGGGCATTAACAAAACACACTTTGAGAATCTTCTACTTCTATAGGTATATATTCACGTGTTATTACCATGAAGCAAAACAAAACTAACAGTATTTCTGTAGCTTCAGCATGTTTTCTTCAGGGACTGGAGGTACCTACACATGTAAACTAGTGCTGTACATTTTATGATTTGTAGTCCTGTGGGCTGAGAGGAGAATTTTATGGACAAATTAGATTGAGTGGAAAGGAGAAAAATGTAAAGGTTTAACTAGCCTCAAGCAGCTTTCCAAAACAGAATTCTCCTTTATGGTCTTATATCCTTCTACATCTAGAGTTCTAAATGTCTGTGTGCAGGGAAATCTGCCTCTGCTCTAAAGGCTGTTGCTTCTGTGATTAAGTGCTGGCCACCTGCTTTCTAAATCCAATTACAGCAGAGAAAGTGGGGGTGAGCCATGAGCCTTTTGTGTGTCTGTGTGTTGAGGCCAGATGCTCCTTTTCTCCACTATTGCAAGTAACATCTGAACCTTAGGAGAAAGTGTAATGATGGCCTGTAGGAATGGCAGCAGCAAGCAGTCTGCCACTCAGAGAAATTAATAGATGATTTCAAATCCTTTCATCTTCCAGGCCCAGTGCAGGTCCTATTACCCCTCTTAAGAGTTGGCATTAGACAATGGGAAGTACATAACATTAGGAAATATGAATGAAAGGAGTGACCACAGTCAGGCTGATGACAATATCCTTAACCCCACATAAACCATGAAGCCATATTTTGTGGTCTCTGGCCTTTTCTTTGATCTCTCGACACTCTACCCCCAATGTGGCTAAGTGCCCAGGAGAGAGGAAATGCTGAGCAAATACTGTCTGAAAAGCCTCAATTGTCTTTAGGCTACTCTGCTGGGAGAAGGGAAAAGGGAATATTTCACTGTGTATGAGCATCTGTGTCTCACCTTAAATTGTCTCAGTCATCAGAATACTTAAGGAACAACAGGAAGGAATGCTCCTCTACTGTTCATCCTGGGCCTCTGGGTGCTTTCCTTGCTGTGTCTCCCAATGCCGGTTAGTTCTGACAGACTAATCAAACTCCTAACAAGAAGCAGATATTAGCTCCACCCAGCTTAGAAAGCATTTCTTAGGGAGCTAATCAGTATCACTTTGTCTGTCACTCCCTATCAAGCTACCCTAATGGCTTGGCTGTCCTCTAAGTAATTTGCTGCATTTCTGCCACTGGTGGGTGGGCAGATAAGCTGTTCTGTCAAGGTTTATCTTTTGCAATCTTAAATAGACACAGTCCAGGATCTCCTTCTTTGTCCAGTCTGGGCATAGTCAAGCTTCAAAGACCATAAAAAAATGTTTAAAAGAAAGTACAACTGTAACCTTAGATTTAATAGTGAGATTTTTGTGAACACACACTCAGTCACTGAGTTCTCAACTGAGATGAAGAGCGTTATTGCTTCATATGACTAAGTGGATATAAGGAAACTCCTACAAGCCATCATCAACACTACCACCATTGTCACTATGCTCATTCTATTTTATTCTAAGAATGAGGGATGGACAAAAATGACAACAGAGATGAGAGCAGTTTGAAAAGCTTAAATATCAAGCAAAATAAGACATATCAGTACCATTCTAATGTACATGTTCTGCAAACTACACAGACAGGGGCAATTTGATGTATCTACAGCATAGTCAAATAGAGAATATTTGATTTTCACCAAATTTCCTTTTTAAAATATTTAATACTGAATCCTGGCCCTATTAATCCAGCTATGGCTCTTGATTAAGTCAGCACATTCTGGAATC